CACGACGGGGCCCTGGAGCTGTTCTACCCAGCGGGGATAGTCGCCAGGCACAGTGAGGAAAGGCCCAGAGGCTGAGCCAATCTCCCCCTTCTGGACGCCGTCCCCTCTGCTTGCAGGGACAGGCCGGGTCCCGGGCAGCTTTTCCAAAGGGGGGCGCCGTTCTCAGCCAAAATCTCCCCTCCTCTGCTCCGGCCCACCCTGCGTTGGGGGCGCCACACATGGGCGAGATCGGGGCAGCCCAGGAGTTTGGTTGGTGCTTTGAAAGCCAGGAGCCCCCTTTGCATGACAGACGGGGGGCGGGTCCTGCCTCAGTTTCCCCACAACCCTCTCTGGCCTGCTCCAGCTGTACAGGGGACCGTGTTCTGCGGCCAACCTGCTTCTGGGATAAAAGCTAATTGGGGACGCCTCGGTCCCTGGAGTCTGGGTGCCCACCCTTGCAGCGGCCTGACCAGCCTCTTCTGCTGCTCAGCAGGCTAAGCCACCCACGGCCTCCAATAAACATCCATCTTGTTTTGTAATGTCCCGGGTCCAAACCAGCCCCCTTGGTCACAGGGCAGCAGGCTCAATGGCCCGAGTTCCCCAAAGTAACCCCCTTGTATCAGGGGGGGCCACACATGCCCCCATTCTCCACCATCTGTGAGGGGGGTGCACTCACCACCATAACCCCCCTGCCATCTGTCCTCAGGAATTGGCTCCCTCGGTGGGTAGGGTGCCTTCTCTGGGGTGGTGTCTCCCCTCTTTACTCCCGGCTGCAGCATCCTCTTTGCCACACTGCCCTCTGGCAGTGCCCAAGTCTGTCTCTGAGCCCCCCTTCCGGGGGTTGATGTTCCTTCATCGGGCCTTCTTTCAAGCCCTGCAGTCTGAAGATTTGCTGGCCAGAGCTCCCCCAGCTCCAGGGAGCCGGAGCCTCCCCCAGCAGCCAGGTTCTCACTGCTCCCCTCCTCACAACAGCAGCCCATCCTCTATTATAGCTCCCAGCTGGGCCCTAATGGACTAGTACAGCCTCAGCTGGGCTAAACTCCCTGGCCCTGGTTCAGGCCGGGGTCTGCCCTTAAAGGGCCAGTGCAGGGCAAGCGCCCTGTCACAGCCCCTTTTAAAGCACCGTGTGTATTTGTATAACTGGTTTGAAGTTTATGCTTGCGTGTACATAAATAACTAAGGTTCTCACACAGAATCATAAAATAATAGAACTGGAAGGGACGTTGAGAGGTCAAGTCCAGTCCCCTGTATTTACAGGTCCAAGCACCATCTAAACCAGGGATGGACAATAACGTGTGAAGGAGAGCCACTTCCCAAATTTCTGAGGGCTGCCCCAGAAGGGGCGAGGCCTCGGGAGGAAGAGGTGGGGCCAGGAGGCTTCCTGTGCAGCTTCACCCACAGACCCTAATTGGCCAGGGTGCGGGGGAGAGCACTGAAGTCTTTTCCCACCTCCCCCCTTCAGCACCTAGGGTACTCTAGACTACAGGCTTTTGTAGACAGAGGCTTTGTCGACAGATAAGGTCAACAAAGCTTCTGTCAACAAAGAGCGTCTAGACTACATCCAATTCTGTCGACAAAGTAAGCTGTTTTGTGGACATGAGAGTGTAGAAACAAAGCACAGTGTAGATGCAATAACGCCTTCTGTTGACAGAACTCTGTCGACAAAAGGCATTATTCCTCGTAGAATGAGGTTTACTGCTGTCGACAAAACTGCCGAGTTCTGTCGACGTTGTGTCTACAGAACTCGGCGGTAGTGTAGATGCAGGTATCATTCTGTCAACAAAAGTCCACCTTTGTCGATAAAACCCTGTAGTCTAGACACACCCTAGCTAGAGAGAAAGCAGCTTGTGATTCCCTCTGATGACTGGGACCCCTGGTGGGGGGAGGAGACTTGACACGGAGGCTGTCTTGCCCACCCCTGATCTAAACCATCCCTGACAGGTGTTTGTCTAACCTGCTCTCAAATATCTCCAAGGATAGAGATTCCGCAGCCTTCGTAGGCAATTGATTCCAGAGCTGAACATGCAGCGAAGCTGCCACTAATTTGTGGTTCACTGTTTAATTTGTTTTTAGCTGCCCAAAGGAGGGCTAAAAGAGAAATCCCCCCTGTGGGAGCCAGCACTTTTGGCGCTAGGAACAGCAGTGGGACATGCTTCTACAAGAGCGCCATGGGTTTTGCAAACCAAGTCATTCCGCAAAATAAAGGCACACGAGCCCCAGGCATTGGCCGGACGCTGTGTGTCCGGGCGCCTTGGCTTGTGCAGGGGTCTGCCTGGGTGATCCGATTGCAGCCGCGAGACCCACGTGCGTCCTCCGAGGGAATCTCGCCGGGATTAAAACCCCCGTCCCCCAGCCCAGGAGCCAGGGGGGGCCACCCAGACTTTGTGGGGTTCCTGGCGTGGAGCTGCGGGGAGGGGGGGTAGCGAGGAGAGCCCGGTGGGAACAGCCCTGGGCCAAAAGGCTGTTTGCGCACAGATCACACCCACAAGAGTCACCGCGGACGGAAGTGGGGCTGGGAATGTCTGCATGACTCGCTCGCCCGGCTCCCAGCGCCTCACTCCCTCGCTCCCTCTCGCCCTGCCTGGCGCGCCCCGCTGCTGTCCCCATGCGGCACACGACCTGTGTCCCCCAGCCGGCGGGGCGCTTCCGATACTCCTTCCCGAGGCAGAC